GTATTGTGACAATCAGGCAGCTTTGCACATAGCCGCAAATCCAGCATTCCACGAGCGGACAAAGCATATTGAGGTCGACTGTCATTTTGTTCGCGATGAGCTACAGCGTGGGAACATTGTTACTTGCCATGTTCGAACCACAGAGCAGTTGGCTGATATCCTGACAAAGGCCCTGGGAAAAGAGGAATTCACATATTTCCTTGGCAAATTGGGCATCCAGAATCTACATGCGCCAATTTGAGGGGGAGCATTGGGAAACCAGATCTGCACATAACCTTCCTACCGAAACGCAACCTTCGGTGGGTGCTCTGTATTCCTAGATGTATTTGAACAATCAACTCCTAGTGAAAGTGAGGCTCCTATTTGTATATATAGGGATGTACCTTTCAAAATAATGAGGGAAGAAGTAGAAGAATTTCCGCAAAGTTTTTTCAGTTACAATTCAATGGAATACAGATTTTTTTTTTCTTTCCTTAATTGGCAATTCAAAACAATAAAAACAGAAACTTGGTATGTTTATTGAGAATTTACAAGGTACAAAAAAAAAAAACTTTGATAATTAAACAGACCCCAAGTCAAATCAAATCGTTGATGAACACTTACGTAGAGTCTGAACCAAACTCAAATAATTTTCTTATTCTCATAATCCAAAACAAATTTCTTTAGTGTCCTCCCGACACATTCTATGGCTGCAAGATGATGATTCTGTTCCCATCGATACCAAATTCCGGGCATAACCATCAAACTTTACAATTTCTTCTCTCTCTTCTTTGGCCAATAAGCTTAGAACCTCAATAGTCCTTTCAAAACAGAACAGACCATTTTGGTCAAAATAAGCACTAACCCACATTCAACAGCTCTCCTCTTGTTATGAAGGAACATAGGGCGAAACGAGTCGTCTCTGATAGTTGCCGTTACGAAGAGTGAGACAAGACCTCAATTGTAAATGGGAAAGCACCAATGGTCTCCTTGTTCACTTCCACGATGGTTAGGCTTGCAAGCATCGTTGCTGCAAGCGCCTTACAGTTAGGCGTCCCAGATTACAAAGTAAAACCGACACAGCTCATTGCTCCCCAGTCCCCAAGCATCCAAACCCACCTTATTGTCATCATCAAATTGAGGTTCAAGAGAAGTGAAAGCGCCGATTCTTAGATTCTGGAATCCTTAGAGCCAATGCAATTGAGAACGGCAGAAATGACACCGGACTCTGTTAACTTTTGGCATAAGGCGGGGTTCCGCTTAGAGAGACGACTGAGTTGGTTGAGCGAATTGAGCTTGGAGTCTACGAGAAGAAAATGGGGAGGTGAGAGTGGAGATTAGGGTCTATCGTTGTGGTTGAGATTATATTTTGGGAAGGGAAAAGAAGGTGAAATTAGAAATGACTAATGAGGCTTCTGAGATCGTAGTTGGGGATGAGATAGGCAGGACCGATTGTTGGTGTCCAAACCACTGTTGAATGGAAGACCGATTGAAGGTGTGTCCGCGTTTGATTTCCATTTTGCTGAGACGTATTTTTGAGTTGGTTAGGTTTTAAGAGAAATGGCAAGAAAAAGAAAATAGAGAAAGTTTTGTAGAGGTTAACGCTTTTCATTATCTATGTTAACAGCCAAGGGGGTATTTGTCACAATGTAAAAATTAATGGGGCCTTTGTTGCAAACTAAAGTATAAAGGGGTCTTTGTCATAACCCCATAGTACAAGGGGGTGGTCTTTGTAATTTACCCAAATTATTACAACTTTGTGCCATTTCTGGAATGGACAATCTTTGCCCATCCCTAACCCATTGCAAATCATATTGCAAAACCGGAATTTTTTTCCTGACATCCTTATATTGTGAAAAGAGCACATTATTGTAACTCTTTTGTGGATATAAACTTGTACTCTTCGGATAATTGGTGTGTTTGAACAAAATTTTAAAGCATTTAATAATGGGGCCCATGTTTTGCATCGATTTCAAACATATGAGAATAATATAAAACACGAGTTACACTTTGCATTCTTGAACCGGAAAGAAAGTATTTATGCAGAATACATATTTGTGTTTGAATTGCAACCAAACGCAGCCCAAGGGTCAACACTGTCCATGTGATTATAGTAATAATGGAGTGCAGATCTGCTACCAATAAGACATTACCAACACTGCTTCCAACATGATCTAAATGCACATTTCAAACATGTTTTATATTTATGGGGTTGTATTTTTGAAGTGACAATCATGTTAGAAGCTGTGTTAGTACAGTTTTGTTAGTATCAAATTCAGTCATTCAGGCTGCGTTTGGGATCAGTGTAAAACGTCATTAGTGTAAAAACACACTGATGATGTTTTACACTGAACCAGAAAGTGACAATTGCTTTTTTGAAAATAATGATGGGTGGAAGAGCATAAAGTTATACATCGATAAAATCGATTTAATTTTTACATCGATTATTGATGTACAACTTTAGAATTGATGAGGTTTTATATCGATTATTGACGTAAAACTACACTCCATCCAAACGAACGTAAAACTGAACTGAAGTATAGCTTTATGTCAATAATAATTACACCCTCTTTCCAAATGTATACAAAACTGAATCGATATAAATTTTACATCGGTTCTTGATTTACATTACATCCAAATGCAGCCTCAGAGTCCAAAAAATGATTGTGAATATGGACATGCTAACAGCTGATCAATAATGCACATACATAGAGATTAGAGAACGATGGTTCCAAGTTCCAAACTTTTAAGGGGGTGTTTGCCTTTGCTTGGCACTTCAGTTACAAACACACAAACATCTTTCTTGGAGGAGACGAGAAGGATTCAATCCACTTCTGTTAGTGAGGTCTTCCGAACCACCTTGGTGCACCAGTGCTACCCTCGTCAATTGCAGGACCTTCTTATTCCTGGCAAATTTGGATTAGCTGAACACCATGGCTGTTCAGCAGGCTGTGGAACATGATAGGACCTGACTATTAATCGGGACGATTCTGGGTCCCTTTTTTTCGTCCCGATTATCAGTTTGGGACTAGTTTTACAAACTGACCGAAACCCAACCTGCTGACAGTCTTGCTACAGGGGGGTCTTAGGACCCAAAATTCAATTGGCTCTTGCAGCTCTCTTTAGCTAAGGACAAGGAGGTGGGGTGTCTGCTCTTATTGTTGAGGGTGATTCGCTTTTGGTTATCAAGCATGGTTTTCAAAATCAGACCGGAGTAGACAGTCGGACTTGGAAAAACAGGAAACTGGTCATCTGATGGGTTCCGTTTTTCTCCAAAACCATTTTTTCCTCCAAAATCGTTGATCTTGGTCAGGTAGTCAGCAAATCGCTGAACCGGCCAGTTAATCGTTCAAATGGTTTTAACGGTTTTTCAATTGTTTTATTTTTATTGTTAGAATGAGCCAACCATTTGAGTTGAACGGTTGAACCGTTCGAACCGATAACCGAACCCCTGACCGATTCGGTTTTAAAAACCATGTTATCAAGAGTTTGTTGAATTCTGATTCTCCCCCTTCATGAAGAATTAAACATATCGTTGAAGATTGCAAACTCATGTCTTGTTTTCTTCAAATCTCAGTAGCTCATAAATTAGCTAAGTATGCTCTAGGTATTCCAAATTGTTTTATTAGTATTTTGGGTTATCTTTTCTAGACGAGGTGCCTCTTTTTTATTGTATTACCGAGCAGTCTTCTTAACGATATACGGTGGCATTCCGAAAGACTTGACAGTTTACATTTTATTCAAATTATACCTTTTTACTGCTCTAAACCGAATTTAATTATAAAAGAAGCATAACTGTATAATTATATCCAAGGTTCAAAATATCAATATGTCAAATACCCTGATAGGAGTGTATCGGACAAATCAATACTTTTTTTACTTTTATTTTTATTTTTTGAAACTGATTCAATAGAACTAATTTAGGGTTCCTCCACCCCCTGAACCAGTCAGACCCCCAATACACCCACTATAAGAACATATGGAAAGGGTCCCAGAACAATACATATTAGCCAATACAAGCCGATATGTGTCGATACTTTGAACCTTAATACCCTATTTATAATGATTTAAAAAGTTTTATCATTGGCATTTGTAAAATTTGTGTTCCCCTAATATATACTTGCATATTCTAAACATGTCGCCATGTCCAAACATTTCCTAAACATATCCAGATATGCATCTTAAAATGGCTTTTTTTAATAAGCGATAAAAATTGCAAATACAGACATGTTCAGTGCAAAAAAAGGGTATTTAAAAACCATGTATTAGAATTTGCATTATATATATTTGTATTTATCCAATTCTCAATATATACCTAAGAAAGTAGATCACTGAATAAAATAGAAAAAAAAAACAGCCTGCTGGAATTTGTCAATCCCACAAACCAAAATAAACAAACAAAACTCGAACAGAACGCTCTTTAATCGAGTCATATGTGTCCATACCGAGGACTCTTTAAATCAAATTGGGATCTGCTCCTCACAGAGCGCTCCATACACCAACCTCACGGCCACATCCCACCGTGTGAATTGGGAACATCTCCCCCATGAATATTAAATATTAAGTACGGGAATGTTCCAGATGTGCGGCAAAACATGTTGTGAGGTCGGTGTGAGGAGCAGATCCGGACTCCTTTATAGAGTGGTCCATATTCCATACTCCATATCCATTCATCTCCAAATTTGTGGCATCCACAGCAAGCAAAGATCAATACTTACTGCAGAAGAACTGAAGGCAGGCTTCCTGCAGGTTTATGCAGCCCAATGCTATTGTTTTGTTTATAAACTTCCTCAAGCATGGAGAAAGGAAAAATGAAAATCAACCAATATACCAAAAAGAACAAGTCCTGCAAAACAATCTGTTAGGTCTGGGTTGTCCAACGGTAGTGGACAAGAAGTTGCTTGCATGATTAATACTGAGAAGAGACTGATGAAATTCAAATCAGTTTCTGTTTCTGTACCTGATCAACAAGTAAGGCCTGCATGACCACAGCAATAAATGTTGCTTGTTGCTACAAGCTATGCAACAAAGGAAAATCAATATGCTCTCAGGAATAGGTTGCTTGATACTAACATGCTACATATATTCAACTGAAGAAGAAAGTAGACACACTTGGTAAATACAACAAACATTCCCAAATGGAACACAGCTACAGCAAAAAACTGCATCTTTTTCCATACCAAAAATCATTACATATAACCTACGGGTATGATCATACACAATCCAGACATGACCTGGGTCAACCAAAATAAAAAGTCAGAAAAGCACAACAAATTCTCAGTCCTCGTCATCCTCCTCCTCCTCTTCCTCCTGCACAAAAACCAAAGCAATAAATTACCAATAGCCATTAAACATAGAGATGGAATGCAGCTGGGAAAAAGAAATACAATGGCATATTGATAATGCACCCATAAACCAGATGGAGATGCCAGGATTTTGGTAAAACATTAGAATCAACTAGTTTCTACTCAACTTTCATAAACACAAATGCAACATGAAAATCTGAAGTTTGGGAACAACAAATGCTGCCCTAACGTTAGAAGTTGACATATTCTACTGATACCATGCCACATGTCTCGGCTATAGTCTGACAACGGCATCAGTGAGATCGAGATTTGTCAGAATGGATTATAATCACACACACCAACAATAATTTCTAGAACATGAATTATTCACATGAAAATTGGTAAGGAACATCATTGCTGAGATTTGATTTCCCAAGAAAGGCAAACAATTGGTAAGGAAAGTAACTGCACCCTAAATTTTCCTAATGTAAATATCAAGGAAACGATTAGGTGAAAGAAAAAGAGAACAAAGACCAGATGCATTTTTCCCATCCGTAAAAATGGGTGACATATAAGGTAATCAAGTAGGTAGAGACAGTAATACTAATTCTAGAAAATAAAGTTAAGCTCATGCTTTTTATAACTTTTTTTTTTGAAAAGGGTAAAAAATTGAAGTAACAATTCCTCTAATGCAACATGCACTTGGGCTTCTGAAACAATCTTTTCTCCTCCCCAACACATGCTATAAATACATGTGACAGTTTATGAGACCTACCTCTGCACCACTTTCCTCATCTTCATCATTGATTTCAGATCTTGACCTGTCAGACTCCTCATCACCATCATCAGCCCCACTTTCCTGAAATTGATTAATTGAAGCAGTAAGTTAAGAGTGACAAGAGGAGCCAGGAAGAATTAAATTGAATGGAGTGAAGACCACTATATGTATTCACCTGTTTCTTGTTGTAGGCATTCATAAGCTTTTCATACTCTGACTTCTTTTTTGCAGCTTTTGCTTCATATGGAGCTTTCTCCTGCCAAATACAGCCAACAGAGTGCTCAGGTTAATGAAACATCATAATGGAACACAATTGATCAAACTACAGATGGAAATATGGAACTCAGACACTGAGAGCTCAGCCAATCAGTTTTGAGCCTGATTGGTTATCTTGGCTATACCAACTGCATAGTTCCCAATATGCAGCATCTTTTAAAAGGTTTACGTCTATGACTAACTCCAGCCGATCAGTTTTGAGCCTCAGCCCCCTACAAAACAATACTTATCCAGTTGCCTCAGGAGACTACACCAGGACAGCATGGCTTCACCAAACTTTCTAAGAGATCCGAAAATGCAGAACAAGCGCTCGAACAGACTCGTATGGTGCAAAGCCAAAATCAAGTTGAAGTCCACATCAGTAAAATTTGCAGCACCTTTACAAAGAGAATTCATTGAATTTCTCGAGTCAACAGTTGCTAATTTTTATGGTTTGTGACCTTTCATTAGCTTTAGTGTTCCAATCAATTCCAGGTAGTATCTGAGAAGATTTGGATACTTACAGCCACAGACAAGGATTTCCATTTCTCGCCTCCAGCTTTTCCAACCTTTCGTCACAGCATAAAGTAAATAAATTAATTAGTTACTTCATAAAGAGCAAAAAATTATGAAATTGAGTCAAAATTTCCACAACAGATCAACGAGACTACATGTATATAATATAATAGTAAGACAAAATTGAGCCAAAATATTTTTTATCAGCAAAAATATTGAAACTATCAGAAAAACTAAGTGCATTAATTGCTTACAGCTGAGACAGCCTTCACATTAGGATGATCTTGCTTGTAAGTCTTCCGGAATTCCTCTCTGTTTAATATGACAAGAATCAAGTTAGACTTAAATGGAACGCAACATCAAAAATAAAAGGCTGAAATAGGCATCTAACGGAATTAAATGCTTACAGGAAGACAAAAAAGGCACTCGGAGGCCTCTTTGGCTTGTTAGGATCTTTCTTGGCCAATTTTTCCTTCTTGGCCTTTCTTTTGCTACCCTTATCTGGCTTAACAGCAGCCTTTCGCTTCCCAATCTTTCTGTGAAGTGTAAACAAGAGAAAGGCGTCACTAAACTGTTTAAATGATGTCAATACCAAATGGAACAATAATATATAAACCAAAATCCTGAAATTCAAATAGCAGTAACTAGCTATCCTAAGCTCTATTTTTCTGATGAAGCATCCTAATCTTTAAAAAAGGGGGAAAAAGATGGCCAAAATCATTTGACAATCTGTTACATAAACCTATCCACCTGTCGTCAACAAGCTTCAGTGACTCCTTCGCGTCTTTCTTCACTGCCCCTTTTCCTTTGGCAGCCTTCATTGTTAGTAGAACTATCCCTGAAATTATACGAAGCACAATAAAAACTAAAGTAGTCAAGACAAAAATCAAACTCAACCTTTTTTGACCTAAAACCCAAATATCCATATTTTATCAGATCACAAAATCGTGATAGAGTTAATAAACGATGAACTAAAGTAAAAAGTTGACAAGCTCAGAAGATGCTAGTATTCAATAATAAACCTGTTCAGACCGACAAAAACCCATAATACATTCTATGTTGATAAAAAAAAAAACAATAATACATTCTACAAGTAAATAACAAAGTAACGATTTTGTCCAGAAGTTATGTAGTAGCTAGCAACGAAGAAAGTGGACAATGAAAAAAAAAGGGTAACTCCGAAAATGTCACAGACAACGATGACAAATGGAAATGATCGAAGCACTCGCTAAACTTTTCGTTTCCTTATTAAGATAAAATTTTCTGAAATATTTTAGTTCTACTATCACAACTTTGTGAGGAAAACTTTGCTTTCCTTGTTATTTACATCAAAATCAAAACAAATTAAGTGGGGTCGAAAGCAAGCTTTTTTAAGTTAAAAGAGGTGGAAATAATAACTGAAATATGTCGGTCTGAAAGGCTTCAATCCATATTACGATAAACAAACATAGCATAAAGGAAAAGAAAAACGAGAAAAACAACTTAACAATTGAAGTACAGCATGAGATTATGATTAGCTAGAAGTACAGAATAACCAAAATACAATAAAATTATACCAAGAAAACGATAAATTTCACAAAGAAGTAGCGAACTATTTCCCGCATGATATAACAAAATTAACAAAAACAAAAAGAACTCAAGCCCACCACAAGAGGCAGAGAATTCGCAGAAAACGTGAAGAAATCGAAAGAAAACGGAAAAGCAGAAGAAGAAGCAGAAGAAGCAGAAGAAGAAGAAGAAGAAGAAGAAGAAGAAGAAGAAGAAGAAGAAGAAGAAGAAAGATAACCGCAGCAATAAGTTTCCGCAGTTTCACGATCAAAAGCTCTTCCAAGAAATTTGAAAGTAGTGATCAAAACAAATGAACTCCGAAGAAAACCAAAATCAGGATCTAAAGAGAAACAATAATTCAGGAAAAAGAAGAAGCCAACAAAGGAAGGAAAGAAACATACCTTCGATGAAGGAAAGAGAAGGGCAATTCCCAGGGCGAAAGAAAGCAGAAGGAAAGGGCGAGTAAAGCAAGCGATAAGAAATAAAGCAAGAAAAAGACAGACACAGACGCATAGAAAGTAGGAGAGAGACAGAGAGGCCGAGACAGCGCGAATTTGGGTACGACCGACTCAGAATGGGAATTTATACGGATACCGACCCAACCGGTAAGCCTCGGGTATCGGCTGCCACACAGCTCAGTTATCGATAACGTTGTAACCGGTAATTACCTGTTTCGTTGGTTCAGTCGCTCTCACCACCACGAGCAGTGGACACTTCGCCCTTGGAAAGGCATCAAATAAGGCGATGACAAGAAGATATTTGTGGGAGGTCAGCTCAGTAAACACGTGGCAGTGTCTTGAACCATGTGACGTTGACGAGGTCGTTCCTCTGGCTTTACTATGAGTCTGTGTCCGCTCCTTAGACAGCGCTCCTCACACCAGTCTCGGCCGTACATCATGAACATCTTCCACATTTGTATTATTATGGGGTAATAGCATATAAGGGCAACTTTTGGGATTTAATGTCAATAAAAATAATAATTTAAAAAAAAAAATAAAAATAGATTAACTTTTTAAAAATAATATCAATAAAGGGTAAAAATATTGTTCATCATCTTCTTCTTGCCATTTGTTCACCAACATCGTTGCTCGCCATTGTCGTCCACTGCCACCTACTGTTGCCTCCGCCTCTAGCAACGTTGTCGGAGGTGGCCGGAGGCAAAGGTGGCACTAGTGGTCATTCCTCTGCCCAGTGCCACCGCCACCACCTCTGTCTCCACCTACCTCCAGTAACGTTGCCAGAGGTGGCGGCGTTGGGTAGAGAAATGACCACCAGCATCGCCGCCGCCACCTTCGCCTCCGACAACATTGCCAGAGGTGGGTGGAGATAGAGGTGGCGGCGGCGGCGCTGGGTAGAGGAATGACCACCAGCACTGTCGCCACTTCCGACAATGTTGCCGGAAGCGGACGGCGATGGCTGGTGAACAAATGGCAAGAAGAAGATGATAAATAGTGTTTTGCCCTTTATTGATATTATTTTTAAAAAGTTAACCTATTTTTAAATTTTTTTAAAAAAATATTACTTTTATTGATATTAAACCCCAAAAGTTGCCATTATATACTATTATCCCTATTATTATTCATGGGAGGTGGTCACAATACATGAGAATTGAGATTTGTTTGTCGTTGTTGGCTTCTCATACCGACCTCACAGCCACATTCCACCCTGAGAACATCTCATAAATAATAACATATAAATAGAGAAAATGTTCCCAATGTGCAACTCGTACATACCGAGACCGATGTGAGGAACAGATCCAAACTCAATACATGGTAGGATGGGTTGTGAGGTGCTGCCTATGAGGAGCAAATCCCGATTCCTTTCCTACTCATTTAACTCAAAGTACCCCATAAATTTCACACTTGCATCACGGACTCCATCCTGACTTTATGCTTTTTAGCTTTTATGGATCAGGTTAAACGGTAAATCAACTTGATCAAACCCTATAGGACCGGGTCAGGTTTTTTGGGTATAGTGTTAGGTTAGGATTTTGATCCTTACATTTGAGTTGGGTTTGAGTTTTGCTATTTTACCCATTGGCTCAGTTTAGAAAGAGTACAAATACAAATTTGTAAAGTACAAAACCTTGCATTTTATATTATTTTGTATGTATTTCAGTATTTGTACTATACATATTTGTATTTATACTCTTTCCAAATTAAACTGTTGGGACATAGTACCTCTACATCATTCTTGCAGTTTGGTATGACTTCTAATCCCATAACTTAAAATGTTTAATACTAAAAACCAAATTTCAACTTAAATTAATTGTTCTTGAATTTTCAAAAACTATTGTTATAATGGGCCCTTATATTATTTCTCATTATCTTATATTTTTTGCCTTGTCCATTTATTCATGGACCTTTCAGCTTGCATGTGACTAAATCATCTTATTAGTTATCTTAGTTCGTCTTTTCTCCTGTTATTATCTCTCGGGGCCATTTCTAGGTTCCTAAGAACATGTTCATTTCTCATTCTATTCTTTTTGGTTGTTTTATTTATCCATTTCAATATATTTGTACTTTTTTGCTCTACAAAATTGATGATTTTAAAACTGTGTTATAAAATTTCTGTTCCGTTTGAACAACATTCTCCCATCACATGAGCGATATTCATTGTCGATGACCCAGTAGTCGAGATGCTCACTTGGCACCCCTCCAAAATTTCATTTTCGCATGGCCAATAGGCTTTACATGCACCCCTGTTGCACGGGTTAACTTTCGCTGTTAGGGCCCAACAGTATAGGCTGTTGAGATAGTTTATGGGCAGTTCACTTATTCATGTCCATGCTTTGGTTTTTAGTCAAAATAAATTAATATGTAATTACTAATTTACCCATTCTCATGGTAATGTGGCATTCTCATAAATTCTCCCAACAACATAGGCTATTGACCCCCAACAGCTAAAGTTTTTTCCTGCTGCCCTACCCCAATTCCCCTATAATGTGTAGTATGTAATATCCAAAAAAAAAAAAAGCTTTTAATGCACCTTTTGTTTTGCCCATCCACCTCCAATTTTATGGGAGACAATTTTCCCACACTCTCATGATTTGTACAGGTTTCCCTACCTTTTCTTTCAAACCAAACACAACCTAACTAAAACTTCTCTTTCACCTACATATACTTAAAGTGAGACATTTTTTCTATTCATTGGGCTATAAAACAAGGGGTAGTCCATCCCTAATCCCCAAACCCTTAGCCCCCCAGGCCCCAACCCTGGTGATTAGGGGTGTCAATGGATCGGTTTTGGGTTGGATTCCGTCCAAATCAAAACCCATTTGGATGGATTAGACGGATCAATAAGGCATATCGAATTTGGATGGACTGGATGGACCAATATGACATATTGGATTGGACCTAGTCTGTCCATAATGAAATTATATTGGATTGAGCCAATATTTGGTCAATTGATAGAAGATAAGAACATAGGTGTCAATGAACCAGATTTGAGTTGAAAACGATCTAAATTAACATGAATTTGAATAGATTAGACAGTCTCTGGATCAGTCCAAAATGGTCCAAAATATTTATTGGACTAGATTGGACCAAGTCCATTTGTAATTGACTCACATTGGATTGGACTGGATTGGACCAAATCCAGTCCAATTAACACCTCTACTAGTGGCAGCGAGAATAAGTCCAAGTCTTTGTTGGAATGAGAGCCAGCTATAACTGAGCCACCCATCAGTTGGCTCCTTAAAATGATATCTATCCTACCATATTATCCTTTTAGGGACTGGTATATATGCTTTATCTAGAACAATGAATAATATGCAATGATCCCTCTTCTTTACCTAAACTTTCTCTCCTATGTGAATTCTAATGAAGGCAGATTTGGCCTTCCAATGACATTGTGACACATGGCATCTCGGAACAACTAGGTGACACCTAGAACCACTTAGGCAACAACTTGCCTTAGCCAAGACGAAGGTGTCCCAACTGGTGGCCTGGCACAGGCGTCGAACTGGCGACCTGGCACAGGCGTCGAACTGGCGACCTGGCACAGGCATCGAACTGGCGGCCTGGCACAGGCGCTGACCTGGCGACCTGCAAGACATGCTCTCCGACAAATTCGGCATGCATATCCCAACACTCCCACTATCCTTGGAAGTTGGCCCATGTACCGAACGATCCAGAGGGTGGTCAACGTGCATGGCGGTTGCCGCAGAGAATCTCGAACCACTTAGACGAATTCTCAGAAATCTCGGATGCGGTGCGCGCCCACGCCAAACTATTCCTATATAAAGGCACCAACCCAATGGCATAGGGGGCAAGTAAGCATATTCCAGCTCTCATACTTTGTGATTTTTAGCTCGCAGTCTACTATGAGAGTACTGACTTAGCATCGGAGCGACCTTGCCAGGTTAGCCACCCCGGGTCCTCTGACATTGATTCCTTGCAGGTCTCTAAAGAACTATGAAGCTCAACAATCAATCCAGCTTGGCCGAGTCATTTCGGCACCTAACCTGCCCAGCTCGACCCACTGGTCAGCTCATCACCTAATATGCAGCTCGGCCCTCTGGTTAGCTCGACACTTTGGTCAACTCGACACCTAATATGCAACTCGGCCCTCTGGTCAACTCGTCACCTAATATGCAACTCGGCCATCTGTTCAGCTCGACACCTAATAGGCAGCTCGACACTCTGGTCAGCTCGGCCTCCAGATCCTCACCCAGCAAAATTCTCCACTTCGGCCTCTGAGCCATCAACCACTTGGAAGCAGACCAAATGATGAGGTACTTAGCACAAAAAAATGATACTTCACCAAAATTTGATTCATCAATTGGCACCGTCTATGGGATACGCTACAAAAAAGCTAATTTCTCATCCTAGGCTAAGTCCTCTTCTTCCAGAAAGTTAAGTTCTCACCTTTTAGAAATTAAAGCTCTCACTTTCTAGTTTCCATTTTTTATGAACTCAAAGACTATGTAGGAAGTTGATGGCCAACAGACTAAGCAGCTCTGCCGACTTTATTTCAACTCGGATAAAGCCTCATTAGTCCTCTTCGCGAGGTACCCTCTACAAGATGAGCTCTTCGTGGCTTCCACGGGAGTTGGCGACCAACGGACTGCACGGACGCCCCTGTCAGTCGAGCCTTCCAAGGGTCCCGTGCAAGCTGGTCACCTAAAGTTAGTAGTGCTGCCCCCGTAGGTCGAGCTCCCAGTAGCTTCTTGTAGGAGTGGGTGACCGGCGTCACTAACGAGGCTGATGCAGCGCAGCCGTAGCTCTAAAGTGTCGAACTGATAAAAGACCTCGGCACCACATAAGACTCAGTCGCCTCTTCGGCATGGGAAAAATCAAGGAGAGTGGACTACAAGTCGCTCCCAGAGCCTAAGGGATAAAGTGCCAAACTGAAAAAAGACATCGGCACCACATAAAACCAGTCGCCTCTTCGGCATGGGCAAAATCAAGGGTAAGGAGAGTAGACTGTGAGTCGCTCCCAGAGCCTAAGGGCTAAAGCAGTTCATATTCAGCACAAGAAAACAAAGGAAAGACTATTTCGCTCTCAGCACCATGATGGATGCAAACTTGATTTATTCACGGCCG